CATATGCTCTGTATTGGTGGATGCTGTTTGTGCGAACAACTTTTGCTGTTAAAGCAACACACGACATAACATGTTGCACAGCCGCTGTTCATCTTTATCCCCTTTGCCCACAACTCTCACCTGCTTCAGCAAGTGGCTTATCTTTACCAGGACTGTCATGGCCTTCAACGGGAGCAGTAATTTCACGGTTGAGAGTGCGATCAATATTGTACACCGCGATCAGCACATTCAGAATATCAACTTCCAAATTGGACGCACTGAGGAGCAGCGGCAGGTCGAGAGGAAAGAGGATGGGCTTGAGCTGATTGACCAAGTGAGCAGACCACCTGATCTCGATGTGAATTTTGCAAGACTGATCAGGCAGCATAGTATCGCGAAATTCTTCATGGGGATATCTATAAAGTCGAAAAGACCGGGTCTACCTGGGAGGAAGACCGGGATGCACAATTTGGGAATAAGTGTACCGGAAGGCGAACCTATTACCGTGCAAGGATCTACGGAGACGACAAGGTGTATACAGGGGTCATATACAGCGGCAGAGATGCATCAAAGGTAGCTTATACTGCTCTCAACGCTACATCCCCTACTCATCTTGAATGATAGCTTTGGAAGGAAGATTTTGCGAAATATTCCGGGTCACATGATCTCGACGATTCTGCCATGATATGGCAGCTACACCGCATAAATCGTTCAAAGGTTCCGGCACTTATCTTTTATGACGGTTCGTGGTGGTATTATTACAATTTGTGCACAGCACTGAGCATCTGTTCAGAGTGGCTACCTATGGCTCATTTCTGCCCAAATGAAGCCAATATTTTCACGATCATGTATGCCCAGCTTCTTGCTGTAGGTAGTTCTCTTTTCAATACGGCCAACTGCTCATATATGTGCCAGAAATATCTACATTGTCATTGCAAGGACATCTGGTTGAACTCACAAAGTGGTCAATTTTCGAGCGGACCTGAGGGGCCATTCTACTCAGGGGGAGCAGAGCCAAGAGATCAATATATTGTCAAGGACCTATGTTCCACAGCAGATATGCTTCGCGCTGATATCTGTCTCCGGTTTCTAAGTAAACCGTCTTTGAACCTTGATCAAAACTTTCTACATGTTGCTGCCTTTTCTCAGTTCCTTCACAACCGCAACAAATGCCCCATTCAATTCTTTGACATTGAGCATCATTGCACTCCAGCCTGCTCATCTCGGAGATACTTGGTATTCAAATGGTGCCAAAGCAATGGTGATAGTTGGCAACAAAGTGATGCTGATGCCTACATTCACAACAAATATTTGGATTTTCTCGACAATTTGCGTTTTGACACCATATATTCGGCTCGACAGTGTTGCGAGATTGCCAGAATAGCACGAGGGTTTGTACTAGAGAATACCTACAATAACCCCTTTCCACTTTATGATCCAAAACTTGTGCGAGGAATGACACGGTCAGTTGCCATTGTGAATGCTAACATTGCGAATACTAATTTTGATATTCTTTGCTAGGTTCTCCTCATACTCAAACTCAAGGTGGCCAGGATCTCAGTCAATCCTTCGAAATGCCCATAGCAAAGAGTATCAATTTGGTAAGCTTGGTAAGACCTGGCTGTCGCGTGCTCACCACCACTTTGGGTGTGGTGTTGATCATGATGGTATTGAGAATTGCTGTACGTCTGCGCTGATGCATTGCTCAATACTTAAGAGACTAATCCACAGCAAATGTAGATTATATGACTTTTTACGTCTCTATACGGATTTGTGGTCCTCCGAGTCCGCCCACCAGCTCATCGGAATTTTTGCATGATCAGCATGCTGATGGACAGGATGATCACACAATTTATCTCTTTATTCAGCCACTCACAAGGCTATCAGAAGTCGAGGACTGGCTAAACAGCAAGCCATTCTTTTGGTCCTTCGATGAAAATGGCACAACACATATCCCAGAGTCTACGTGTGCACAACTTGGTCTACCCACTTTAACTCTGTCCGAGCCCGCCGGAGTACGCTTCGAATTATGGCCAAAGTACACATACGACGCTGTCTACAAATGGCAAGTTGCCAAAGGCTTTGACCCATCCACACTCGATTTTGCTCGTTCTCTCGGAGTTCCGATATTCGATGACGACAGGCTGGCAGAGGAGAGTCAATTCAAGGAGGTTGTCAAAGGTACGTCGACTTTCCTCTGGGCACAATGCAATGATATACTCAATGCCTTTTGGTAGAAGAACAGGAAAACCCAACAGAGTCCGAGTCACCTAATACGAGTGATGTTGGCGGGTCCTTTATGTCCCGGTTGACCACATCGGCGTCACGGTGGTTTCAACCTGAAGCTGCGCCTGGTATCCCCGTTCTTTGATGATAGGAATAGTGAATCATTTTGAAGTTCCACTGGGCTCCAACCTCGATTTCCTCTATACCACTCGTACGATTTCTCTTCCCTAGAACCCACTCAAGCCAGCCCTGGTGCCAGCGGCTATCCAATCAATTATCACTAGTACTCAAAGTACACATAGCGCGTCTTCGTTCTTACTCCTTTTCATCTCCTTGTTCATAGCCAATATCATACCATATCATATCTCTTTCCGGCCAATCCTCCGAGTTATCTATTGTCTATCATGGACTCATTACGATTCATACTAGCTGCGCTGGTGGTGGCGATCCGCTACTAACAGTGTTACGGTGTCTTCCTCAATCGTAGCCTATGTCATGTAATACTCAATACTTCTTTCTCAAGACAAAACTATCACGGACTATGACTGTGCATCAAACAGTAGAAGTTGAAGGCACGAACTTGAAACGTGAAGTCCAGAGGTGATGTCGTGATCAAGTGTGCTACGCCTCGACTTTCTATATCTCACCGCGTCTCGCATCAAGTATATTGTACACTTCTCTTTTCTTTCTACATCTACTTCTAAGTAACCATTACCACAAAATATACACAACTTAGCTTATACCGTCATCGTCATATCGTAACTCCTAGCAGTTCTGGCCTCCAATACCTTCCTCCTCGCTAGTCTCCGGAGACTCCCACTCTTGTCTCTCCAGCCCCGAACCCGCCGGCACTGGAACCATAAATGGCGTACTCGACGCACGGCTCGTATTCAAATACCGTGATCCTCTTCTTCATCAACTTCTTGAACCGACATTTACCACCGTTGACTTTCCTCTTTATCAAACAGTCACCGGTCACCTATCAATCTTCCATACAAATGATCTTCATAAAACAACCGGCACGGCGCGAGTTTGCGAGGATTTGGGGAATCCATGATCCTTCGGCCTCCTAGCAAGAACATCCTCCATCCCAGTCCCGGACTTGTGTATCGGTCGCGGTCGTGTGCTAAAGCTAGAGTCGGACCGAAACCTCCAAGTTTTCATCGGTCCAACACTCCGAGACGCAAGGTATCGGATCATCATCCAGATCCAGGAGGCGACAATAATCCACGACCGACAGAAGCACTTGCGCATCAAAAGCGAGGAACGATCTCGTGTAGACCTCTCGCTGGAAAATGAACAACGAGGATACTGGTCATAGGCAGTGGGAGGTCTATGATGCTCGGTGTTTCTAGCTTGGATTAGACGGCATCTGGAAATCATACACTGAAAAGCCGAGTCAGTAACCATGAAAGAGAGACTCGACGAGAAAACGCACTGCTGTCCCGCTCGAAAATACTGCGTTGATGCTTGTTCAAGTCAGGTTTTCAGGTCAACGCTACATCCCATTGAAGCGTTCGAGGGCCTATGTTGGAGTAACAAGTTGAGTTTCATAGGTAGAACCAGCAGAGAATGTGTAGGGATACGCACCAAGCGCCCTTTCCCGTTTATCGGGCACAACACGGATAAGAAGCAGGCGGAGCGAAAACGCGCTCTGGCTAGAGCATTAGGATTCTCGCAGTCAGCGTTTATGGGAGAGACAGAGAATCAAAGGGCAGGCACTCCAGAGTTTTCCGAGGAAAAGGTCCAAACAGCTCGTCAAAGTTGGACCTAGAATAGTGTTAGAGACCGAAAAAACGCACCTCTAATGCTCGAGCGGTTTCGCGCCTACTATCACCAGGAAGATTTGGGCTTCAACGGCGAATAATGAGTAACGTGTTGGCATTACACATCTACTGGGCGCGGTCAGATACAGCATGGATAGAACTTGAAAGCAGCTTAAAGACGTGCCTAAAGTACGTGTCACTGTGATTGGGACAACAGTCGGGCAGTGTTCATAGGGTATATCGAACGGTAGGCACTCTGACTGTATATAAGCAGAAAAACTGTCAGCGATCGAAAAGAGAAAGAAAACAAGTAAACGCACGGACACAGGCTCTCGAATCGATTCCTCGTCGTGCCGTTTGCTGAAACCTCAAACATCGAGTTGTTAACCCGACTTGGAGCGTAGGTTTAGGCATGTATAGCCCGAGCCTTCCAGTTGGAAGATCAAATAGCGCTTCGTTGAGGTTTGAGGTGGTCTGGGTCTAAGCCAGAACCATTGAGCGAAACAGGGAAAAAGGCATGTGAGACGGGCCATTTCGAACTATTAGTGGTTAGGCTTGTCAGTAAAGGAGACGTGAAAGAACGTGAAGAGCGCACGAATGAATCAGGTCTTAAGAGAATGCCCAACACCTTCGAGTCCTTTGCACTATCGACGAATATCTCCGTCGCCCGGAAGGAGGCTGGCCTACCAGATACAAAACGCTGCACCGGGCCCGTATTTCGCGATGGTTCGGAATCAAGCTTGAAGCTTGAAGTTGTAGCGAAGTCGGACAACCAAAAACGCGACTGCAAACGGTTGGATGACCGGGATTTCAGGGGGTTTTGGATCTTCTTGAGAGTTGATTGTGGTTAAGAATCAAAGAGTCATGCGGTTATGCACGTGAAAGAGAGAAGGTGTACACGCACAATTTCTGAGGTTCAGATTTCCAAAATCCCAAATCTATATAGCTGTAGCAAGGGTGAGATTGACGCTCCATTATCAGCGAGTCTGTAAAATAAGAAAAAGGCAACTAACCAAGAGCCAGCTATATTTCCCTCTAGCCGACTTGAACGACTGACCTCGTCATAGAGTACTCAGTTTCTTCTTGAATACTAGTGACGCGCTCTACCAACTGAGCTAAGAGGGATTTGGTAATGTGTGTGCACTTTGCCATCAGATTGCCCTGACTTCTCGCCAAACCCCGCGGCGTAGTTTCCAAAAATTTCCAAAGCACTCGACACACTTTCTCCTCTTACTCACCACAATGCCCTTTCCATTCACCTTCAACTTTATCGTTCCCGGTCTATCCAACCCTTTTACTCCTCCTCCTCTTCCACCAGCTCCACCAGATGAACTCAACCTCGGGCCTAGCATTCACCATTCTACCCGTCACAGTCAGATGTCAGTCTTCGACACCGCCGTATCTCCCTCTTCTTCCTCTTATACAACGCCACCCCAAAGGTCAAGAAAACGCTCGAGACATTGGGAACCAACGCCGCCAATGACGACTACGCGTGAGATGGTAGATGAAGGCGAGGGAGTGGTTTATGTCGATCAGGAGAGGGATGATGAAGATGGTGAGTAGTCGGGCTTCCTTTATTACGTTTCTCTTGTTTTTTGGGCGATCTTGGGTGTTTTGCTGGGTGTTTCTGGGTGTGTTGAGTGTACGCTATATGCGTGTGTTGTGGTGTGGTCTATCCCCAATCCTCGATTACCTTTTGCCCGCTTCTCGCTTTACCCTTGTACACGCAGCCGTTACGCAGCCGATATCTTTTTCTTCATGTTCTTGCCCAGAACCCTCGCTTCGTCGGTTGAACTGAAGCGATATCATCGATTCATGCCACAAACCACGCCCCGGCCTCGAGGCGCCGTTTCATTTATAAACATCATACATATCTGATCCACGCTTCTTCCACACTCCCCACACACCGCACACAAGACATGCGTACAACACACCCCATCCTGCCTTTCGGTGGGATAAAAGAGCCTTCCCAGTCTCCCTTTGCTCTATCATTCTTACTTGCTTTACTGTTACTGCTTTTCGTTCTCGTTCTCATTTTCACCACCGCACTCCTCATCCTTCCTCTTATTTCCCTTTCACTACTCTCCTTAACAACCTTACTCTTTCTCCTCACTCTCAACCCCTTCATTAACCTCACCCTTACCATCTTTATAACAATGCCTCTCCTCATCCACCTCCTAACCAACATCCCAGATCCCCTCAACCCCCATTCCGCATCTTACCAACCACCAGCAAAACGCAGGCGTTTACTAGGCGGTCTAGGAGGCCTAGGAGGTTTAGCGCTTACTGCTGCTGCCGTGGGTCTGACCGTGTACAGGCTGTACGTACCCCATTTGTCGGTTCGAGTTCTGGGACGTTAACGCTAACTCAAGCTTTCCGTTCCTTTCTTTTTGTTCTTTTCATGATTATAGATGGCGTGATCGCGGTGCACCCAATACACTACACTAACGCACCCCATGCTCAAGCCCAAACCCAAACCACAACGAAACAAGACCCCCAACAACACCAACAACACGAAGCACCACCACCACCATACACCGAATCCGCCGCATCCTCATCCCAACATTCCCTTGTGCACGAACACGATTCTAAACGTGCGCATACTACCAACACGAGGTTAAGAACACCTCAGAGACAGCGTCAGGCACTTACACCACGACGGAGACGCGTGCAGCCCCGGAGCCATATATTCCCGAATTCACCGGCGCAGCCAGAGTTTTCGTTTAACGCGCCTTCAACGTCGGCCTCGGGGGCGGCGTTTACGTTCGCACATGCGCATCCTTCGACGTCACAACAGCCTGTGCCGCAGACGCCAAGACACGAAGCAGAGGAAGAAGGAGAAGGAGAAGGAGATGATTCACTCTCGCGACTGACGTCGCAGCTTACCTCCTTGATCGCAGAAGGCAAACGTGCGTTAGGAAGGGAAGTTGTCGTCATGAGTGAATGTAGAGAAGATGAAGAAGATGATGGATTGGGCGGCTGGGTCGACGAAGACGCTGGGTCGCAGAGTCAGAGCCAGAGAAAGCTCAAGAGAAGGGGGTCGGGGAGTCGACGAGGAAGAGGATCACCGTATTTGAATGGAAGTGCAAACTCGAGTTTGCCTGGTACGCCGTTGCCTAATGCAACGTTCACTGTGCCGAGTACGCCAGCAGCAGCGGGTCTGGGGTTAGAGAGAGAAGAGTGGGAGTCGCCGGAGATTAGAGAGTCGATGGAGAGAGCGAGGAGAAAGGTGTTGGAGGCTAGAGCTGCTAGGGGGTTATGACATGACGTTGACGATGGTTTATTATAAGTTAAATTGTGTATATTTTTTGTTGAGTAGGTAATGGTTATTTAGTAGTACGTAGAAGGTGTAGAAAGAAACGAAAGAAGTGTACGAGTATATCGGTTTGGGGATGTTTTGTGTGTGTTTTTGACTGGAACGCCGCCGCCAGGGCTGTACTAGTAGAGCTGAAGAAAGAGATAGGTAAATGAAAGAAAGGTGTTCAGGACGCAGCATATGTGTAGACAGAGAAAGGAAAGAAGTGTACGAGTATATCAATCTGGGGATATGTCGTGTGTGTTTTGAATGTTCAACGCGACGGGATTGTTGTCGTAGGGCAGAAGAAAGGTATGTAAATACTAGAAGAGTTGATGAAACTGTACGAAGGATTTCGGAACGTAGAATCTGGTACCGAGGAAAAGAAATCAAGTGGCCATAGATTAGATAAAGGAAATGAAATGAAAAGTGATCGAGACGGAGATGCGTCGTGCGTGCCTTGACTCGAGCGTCTCCGCCAGGTAGAAGAAAGAGATAGGTACGAATGATTTCGGAGCATTGTTGAACGCAGGGATCTAGTTCAGAACAGAAGAGATACGAGGGGTCATAGATTGCATACGGGGAATGAAACGGAATGTATCGGATGTGTGGACCCTGGGAGCCGGGATGAAGCACTCGACTTGTCGCCAATATCAACCAAAAGCAGGGATATCTTCTGTAGCTTGCCACCACGATAACTTGGTCAAGCGTGACAGGAATGATTCGTCGAGATCACTCTGAGTCGTAACGGTGACGATATTGGGCGACTCGGATTCGGTCGGTTTTTTGGGTTCTTCTACCAAAGGTATTGAGTATATATATCGTTGTAGTGGTAGTAGTATAGGTGAAAAGACATACCTTTGATAACCTCCTCGAATTGATTCTCCTCTGCCAACCTGTCATCTTCGAATGACAGTTTTCCGAGAGAATGATGCGCAAAATCAAGTGTGGATGGGTCAAAGCCTTTGGCGACTTGCCATTTGTAAACGGCGTCGTATGTGGACTTTGGCCATGAATGGAAGAATACTTTGGCAGACTCGTGCGGACTCGGAGTTACAGTGGGTAGAGCGAGTTGTTCACGCGTAGACTCTGGGATCTGTGTTGTGCCATTTTCATCCAAGGACCAAAAGAACGGCTCGCCGTTCAGCCAACCCTCAACTTCTGACAGTTTTGTGAGTGGCCGAATAAAGAGATAGTAGGTTGTGGGATCATTTTTTCCATCGGCTTCGGATCCAAATAAGTCAGTTCGCAAAGGAAAATCGATCTCTATGTTGGTTAAAAACGTCATATAATCTAGAATTCAGGTGGATTAGTCACTCAAACGATGGAACAGCGCAGACGTACAACAATCCTCGATACCGTTAGGGTCACACCCAAAGTGGTGGTGAGCGCGCGACAGCCAAGTCTGACCATAGTCACTGCCCTTGGCATGGGCAGTTCTAACCAAAGCCTTATATTCTGACTTGCCTGACTGCCACCGGCGGGAGTTCGGGCCCGGGGTCCATGAGAGCCTAGCAAGGAACGAAAAAAAAAAACTCGGTATGTTGTAATATTGGTATTCACATGGCCACTGACCGTGTCATTCCTCGCACAAGTTTTGGATCAACAAATGGAAATTCTTCAAACCCTTGTGATAATCTGGCAATCTGGCAACGCTCTCGACCCGAATATATGGTGTCAAAGCGCAAATCATCGAGGAAGTTCGAGAATTTGTTCAAATGAATGTAGGTGCCAGCCGTTGTCCGGCTCCACGAATTTCCATAGCTTTGGCTCCACTCGAAGGAGAAACAGGAGTTCCACTGAGTGCAATGATGGTTAATGTCAAAGATATCAATGAGGCATCTGTCGTGTCGCCAAGAAAAAGCGGCATTATTCAAAAAGAGTCCCTCAAGGTTCAAAGACGGTTTACTAAGAAACCGGATACAGATATCAACTTGGAGCATATCTGCGGTAGAACATAAATCCTTGACAATAGGTCGTTCTAGCCGGCCCCAAACCGGAGAGAAGCATGGCCCCTTAGGTCCACAAGAGAATTGACCGTTCTGTGAGTTCAACCAGAGGTCCTGGAGATCACACTGTAGATATTTCTGACACATATATATGAGTGATTGGCTGCATTGAGAAGGAAATCACCAACAGCGAGAAGCACGGCATACATGTTCGTGACAAGATTGTCTTCATTTGAGCAGAAATGAGCCATAGGTAGCCACTCTGAACAGGTGCTCAGTACTGTACACATAGTAATAATACTATCACGAACCGCCATAAAAGATAAGTGCAGGAACTTTTGAACGATTTATGCGGTGTAGCTGCCATATCACGACAGGATCGCTGAGATCGTGTGACCCGGAATGTTTCGCAAAGTCTTCCTTCCAAGACTATCATTCAGGATGAGTAGGCAACATTAACGTAAAAACAACCATAAAGGTACCTTTGACGCATCTCTCCCACTATATGTAACCCCTGTATAGATTTTGTCGTCTCCGTGGAGCCTTGCATGATACCAGGTTCGTTTACCGGTACATTTGAAAACAGGTATTCCATCCTCATTTAATTCAGAACTCCAAGTCCATGATTCGTCAGATCCAGTCTCCTTGATCTTGTAGATATCACCAAGACGAATGTTGCGATACTGCGTTCAATGCCTCATCAGCGCTGCGAAACTGACATTGAATTCATGTGGTCTACTCACCTCGTCAATTAGATCAAGCCCCTCCTCTTTCCTTTCGACCTGCCGCTGTTCCTCAACTCGTCCAACATGGAAGTTGATAGTTTGATTGTGCTGATCGCGGTATACAGTATTGGTCGCGCTCTCAATCGTGAAATTACT